GGTGAGTGTAGGCGGGGAGGTAGGGAGGAGATAGGTCAGTCCAGGGAGGACAGACAGGTCAAGGGGGCAGGATGAGGTTAGTAGGTAGGAAATGGGGGTGCGGCTTGAGGTGGGAGGAGGGGATAGGTGGGAGAAAGAACAGGTTAGGGAGGCGGGAACGAGCTGGGCTGGTTTTGGGATGCAGTAGGGGGAGGGTTGTCTCCGCCTGCTCCTGCCCCACCGAACTTATCTCCACCTATCTCGACTCCATTTTCTCCCCCTTGGTCCAGGAACTCCCTACCTACGTCCGTGACACCACCCACACACTCCACCTCCTCCAGAACTTCCAATTCCCCGGTCCCCAACACCTCATCTTTACCATGGATGTCCAGTTCCGATACACCTGCATTCCCCATACATATGGCCTAAAGGCCCTCCGCTTCATCCTGTCCCACAGGCCTGACCAGTCCCCCTCCAACGACACCCTCATCCACTTAGCCGAACTCATCCTCACCCTCAACAACTTCTCTTTCAATTCCTTCCACTTCCTACAGACAAAGGGGGTGGCCATGGGTACCTGCATGGGCCCAAGCTACGCCTGCCTCTTTGTAGGTTACGTGAAACAATCCCTCTTCCGTACCTACGCTGGCCCTAAACCCCACCTCTTCCTCCGTTACATTGATGACTGTATCGGCGCCGCCTCGTGCTCCCACGAGGAGCTCGAACAGTTCATCCACTTCACCAACACCTTCCACCCCAACCTTAAGTTCACCTGGACCATCTCTGATACCTCTCTCACCTTCCTGGACCTCTCTGTCTCCATCTCGGGCAACCACCTAGAAACCGATATCCATTTCAAGCCCACCGACTCCCACAGCTACCTAGAATACACCTCCTCTCACCCACCTTCCAGCAAAAATGCCATCCCCTATTCCCAATTCCTTCGCCTCCACCGCATCTGCTCCCAGGATGAGGCATTCCACTCCCGTACATCTCAGATGACCTCGTCTTTCAGGGACCGCAACTTCCCCCCCTCAGTGGTCGAGAACGCCCTCAACCGTGTCTCCCGCATTTCCCGCAACTCATCCCTCACACCCCGTCCCCGCAATAACAACCAAAAAAGAATCCCCCTCGTCCTCATGTACCAGCCCACCAACCTCCAGATCCAACGCATCATCCTCCGACACTTCCGCCATCTGCAATCCGACCCCATCACCAAAGACATTTTTCCCTCCCCACCCTTATCTGCTTTCCAGAGGGACCACTTTCACTGTGACTCCCTTGTCCGCTCCACACTCCCCTCCAGCCCCACCACACCCGGCACTTTTCCCTGCAACCGCAGGAAGTGCTACACCTGCCCCCACACCTCCTCCCTCACCCCCATCCCAGGCCCCAAGAAGACTTTCCACATCAAGCAGATGTTCACCTGCACATCTGCTAATGTGGTATACTGCATCCGCTGTACCCGTTGTGGCCTCCTCTGCATCGGGGAAACCAAGCGGAGGCTCGGGGACCGCTTTGCAGAACATCTACGTTCGGTTCGCAGTAAACAACTGCACCTCCCAGTCGCGAACCATTTCAACTCCCCCTCCCACTCCTCAGACGACGTGTCCATCCTGGGCCTCCTGCAGTGCCACAACGATGCCACCCGAAGGTTGCAGGAACACCAACTCATATTCCGCTTGGGAACGCTGCAGCCCAATGTTATCAATGTGGATTTCACAAGTTTCAAAATCTCCCCTCCCCCTACCGCATCCCAAAACCAGTCCAGCTCGTCCCCGCCTCCCTAACCTGTTCTTCCTCCCACCTATCCCCTCCTCCCACCTCAAGCCCCACCCCCATTTCCTACCGACTAACCTCATCCCGCCTCTTTGACCTGTCCGTTCTCCCTGGACTGACCTATCTCCTCCCTACCTCCCCACCTACACTCACCTTTACTGGCTCCATCCCCGCCTCTTTGACCTGTCTGTCTCCTCTCCACCTATCCTCTCCTCTATCCCTCTTCTATCTGCCTCCCCCTCTCTCCCTATTTATTTCAGAACCCCCTTCCCCTCCTCCATTTCTGAAGAAGGGTCTCGGCTGGAAACATCAGCCTTCCTGCTCCTATGATGCTGCTTGGCCTGCTATGTTCATCCAGCTCTACACCTTGTTATCTCAGATTTTCCAGCATCTGCAGTTCCTACTATCTCTGATACAATTGTGGATTTGTGTTAGGAGGAGATTTGTGTAATACATGTGTTACCCTGTTAATCCACATAAAGTTCCCAGCTGGGATTAGAATAAGGTGGAGAGTTTTAGTTAACTTCATAAGTAAAAATTTATATAAATCATTTAAGATTAATTTCTCATTTATTCTTTTTCAAAAAAGTAGTCATGTTACAAGAAATAATAGGAACTGCTGATGCTGGAGAATCTGAAATAACAAGGTGTAGAGCTGGATGAACACAGCAGGCCAAGCAGCATCAGAGGAGCAGGAAAGCTGATGTTTCGCGTCTGGACTCTTCCTCAGAAATAGGTGAGGGGAAGGGGATTCTGAAATAAATAGAGAGAGAGGTGGAGGCGGATGGAAGATGGATAAAGGAGCAAATAGTTGGAGAGGGGACGGACAGGTCAGGAGGCAGGGATGGAGCCAGTAAAGGTGAGTGTAGGTGGGGAGTTAGCTGTCAGAGGTAGATTCTTTACACAGAGAGTGGTGAGCGTGTGGAATGCACTGCCGCCTGTGGTAGTGGAGTCAGGTACTTTAGAGGCTTTTAAGCAACTCTTGGATAGGCACGTGGAGGATAGTAAAATGTAAGGTATGCAGGGTAGTTTGATCTTTGTAGGATAATAGGTCGGCACAACATTGTGGGCCAAAGGGCCTGTACTGTTCTATGTTCTGAGGAAGGCAAGTGGAATGTTGGCCCTTATTTCAAAGGAAAGGAGCATTATGAAGGCCTTACTGAAACTAGACAAGGCATTAGTCAGACCACAACTAAAGTACTGTGCCTTTATCTGAGGACAGATATGTTGGCATTGGAGGCAGTCCAGAGAAGGTTCACTAACTTGATTCTGGGGATGGATGAATTTTCTTATGAGGTGACATTGAGTAGATAGGCCCTATACTCATTGGAGTTTAGGTGAAAGATGGCCTTACTGAAACCTATAAGTTTCCTAGGGGACAATGGTAGATGCTGAGAAGTTGCTTTTCCTTGTAGGAGAGTCTAGGACGTTCTAGTCTAGAGGGCATAATCTCAGAATAAAGAGTCAGCCAATTAAGGCAGAGATGAGGGGAACATTTTTTCTCTCTCAGAGAATAGTGAATATGAGGAATTCTTCACCACAAAAGGCTGTTGAAGCAGGGTCATTAAGTATGTTCAGTGCTGAGATAGATTTTTTTTCTGATCTCTAATCTCTGTTTATTTCTCTTTTTCTCTGAAATAATCCCTTGAAAGTAGTTCACCTCTGAAAACTCATCTCAGTAATGTTAGGGAGGTCATGCTTTATCTCGTGTTAAAAGGAATATAGGCTTTTTGTCAATCAACTTGGAATAAAGCATAGATTGATTCGCATCATATAGCTGCATGTTGACAGCTTTGACAATAGGATATTAGCACAGACCCAGTCTGCAGCAGATATTGTGAATGGAGGATTCTTGTGGTGCAGCGGTGGCATCGTGTGTAAGGACCTGTGTAATTACATCTCTGAACAGACTAATTAAAACAAATGCCTTAAAAACAACCGATTTGGGGCAGTTGTGACACAGAGGTAGTGTCCCTACTTCTGTACCAGGAAGCCCAGGTTCCAGCCCCACCTGCTCCAATGGTATATAATGACATCTCTGAACGGATTGATTAGAAAATATCTGCTGGGAGTTGTACATACAGCGTTTGCTGTTGTATCCTCAGCTACCACAGGAATAGTTTCAGCGTCACCACGAATCGAAGACGGCACAGACTTTTAATAGAAAATGCTGTTGGACATATTAGGTACAAAAAATTCTTTGGTACTGGTTAATTTTATGGTAATTTTAAGAATGCAAATAGTTCATGTTTTATTATGTTACTCCCTTATTTCTAGTGGCCAGTTTCTCAGTTGACGTTCAAGGTAACTGCTAAAAGAATTGAAAGAAGTATGAGTTCAATGTTTACAATCATTTTTAATACTCGTTATTGTGTTTTTTTAAAATGCATTTTGTTTTTCATTACTACTTGCTTGTTAGTGTTTGGTAATGCTTTCTTAGTTGATTTGTGATGTTGTTTTTGTCAGGCATATGCAAATATGGCACCGAAAATTTAGATTTTTACAAGTACGTTACTCAAAGTGATAGGTAAGATTCAAATTATTATTAATGTTTTCGTACACTTCCACTGCCATAGCACTTAGGAGGTCTGCGTTTGTAAGTGGTTGGGGTGCCAAGCATTGAAGTGTGTCTTGGGGTTACAAATTCCAGCGAAAAAGACAAAAGCGAAAAGTTTCAGCACATTTTCAGAGTGCCGTTGGCCGAAGTCTAGGAGCAGATTGCCTACCAGCTCTTGCAGAAGACCTTTTAGAAAATGTCACACAAAAATGGAGGGCATTCAAAATTATTGATACTGAAAACATAATTCTGGCTGTGGGCGATAACGTTGCAATATTTCACTTTCGGATTTATGTTTTGTTTTACGTGCGTAATCCTTGTTTCGCTAAAACCGCGGATGTTTCACCCAGATAACGAGAGGAGGTTACATGGGGCGAAGGCAATCACTTTATCCCAAAAGGGTGACAATCAATCAGGACCCTGATTCTGTGTTGTTGTCAAGTAGCAGCAGCAACCTCGAGAGTAGTTGCACAAAGCGCTGCAGAGGCTGGCGGATCTCCAATCCCGCTGGATTGGGAAGTGACAAAAATCCCTCGTTTCGTTTCGGGGATGTGACCTATTTTAATGCCGTCGGCCGGGCTGGGGTGTGTGTGTATGCGCGCCTTCAGCCCGTTGCAAAGCGTCGGTCCAAAGGTTTCTGCCGGTATTGCGGGCAATACGCGACAACCACGAGGCACACGCCAGAGCGAAGCTTGCAAGCCAGCTCGGAGCTGCAGCCGGCCAGCACAACGTTCCACGGGCTGGCCACGCGCGTGCCCTGCCACTCGAGTCACGTGCCGGTCACCGTGCGCGCGCCGCCGCCGCGGCTGCTGCTGTTCCAGTGGTGGAGCCAAGCCAAGGAGAGAGGGATAGACAGGCAGCTCCGCTCACTCCCTCTCACCGCAAAAACAAAAGCCCCGCTCCCTGAGCTACACTACTTCAACGGGGAGGGAAGCCGCGTCTTTCTTGGGTTCGCCCGACACAACAAGGCGCAAGAAGTGCAGCAGCTGAAAACATCGGAAAACCCAGCAGAACACTGCTCATCGGGTGAGTGGAAGTTATCGCCTGCATTTTGTGCACACAGGAGGTAAAAGCAATTTCTGTCGCGGGGATGTTGTGGTCTTCTGCTGGGTTAGACATAGTGCGGTCCAGGTGCTGGGTCCGGTTTGGTAGTTTCAGAATATGTAATTGCAACAGAAACTAGAACGAGACTGAATCAGTTTACATTACTACGATGCAGGGGACATTGAGACAATGTGATGAAAACAGCTTATTCTGCCATAAGACTTTAGTTGACTTTAGCTTTACCATGGCAACACGGCAAGACCGCACATTTTACGTGACCTTGTATCGACGGAGAATTTCGATAGGAATTCAATATAGTGACCTTTCTTATGAGTTGGTGTTGAGTCGAAATTATTAAACATGAAATATTTTTTCTAATAATGAACAAAAATATATGTATTATTTACTAGTTAATATGTTGTAATAATGTGCTGAATATTCACTTGAATTGAGTTATTGCCTGTAATTACAATGAGTTCGTATAATTTTAGATACAGTTTGGGGCTGTTTAATATAAATTAGAATAAAAACAAAATGTTAGGGATGCTGGAAGTATGAAACCAGCGCAGAATGCTGGGGAAACCCAGCAGGTCTGGCAGCATCTGGGGAGAGAGATACAGTTTACGGTTCGGGTTCGGTATGACACTTCAGAAGGCAACTCAACTGAACTAAACCCTGTTTCTCTGTCCCCAGATGCTGCCAGATCTGCTGGGTTTCTTCGCATTTTTTTTTGTTTAATATATACTAGTTGATCTCCCGTGGCATTGTATATGGGGAGGATGAATCCAAGTGTAGTTTTTAAAGTAGGGATAGATAATTGTGTAAGTAACTTCCTATTTTAAAGTGATGCTTGTTCTTATCTTTTTACATCTTTATTGCACACTCTTACGTCTATGCTTATAGTCGAAGCAGCTTAACTTGCAATACTTCTATTGCAAGGAAACTGTAAGTAGAATATGGCATCAGCATCAGTGTGGACACAGAAACTGATAATGGCAAAGTTGATTGGAAGTGTATGCAATGCAAGATTTAAAAAAAAATGCATCAAATTGTTATACTGCATTTCTAAACTTCTGTTAAAGTTTTAAAAATCTTCATATTTTATAAATAAACTTGATCAGAGATGATCTATATGTTAAAACTAGTTAATGCCAAATTGTTTTAAGTCACAATTTAGCTCTTGCTAATATCACATCATTTTGCAAGATATGATGACTTATCTTTTGTTGTTACCTGTGTGTACATTTATGAATGGTTCCACAATTCCACCTACACTTAGTTTGTAGGAAGTTTGTGGTCAAGTCGGAACAATACAGAGAAGATTAACACTGCCCCACAGAGTGACTTGCAGATTTGTGAAATATTCAAGAAACATCTCTTCATCAGTATCTTTTTGTGGGGACAAGTGGGGAGTGCTCTGGTGTGCGTGCAGCTCAGTTTAATCAAAAATGTAATCCTTGTTTTGGACCACATCTTACATTTCATTGGGCAAGTATGATTGGTAATGTCACTCGGGTCTCAGATCTGAATTTGGGTACCCCTCTCTCCTTCAGCACACTAATATGTTGCTATTCTGTGATGTATCTTAATTTCTCATTTTGTTTTTGGATTTATCAATAACATTTTGAAGTCAGAAAAAGGGTAACGCTGAGTGAGAAGTAGAAGATAAAACTTTAATAAAAATTAAGTTGAAGAAGCAGAGTTTATTTGGAGGGCACAAATTGATGCTGGTTGATATCATCATGATAAGTAAGTATATCTTTCAGGAAAAGTGGTTTTAGACAACTGGCTAATAATCAAACCAGTGTAATTACTTTCAATTAACTTGTCCAGACATGTTATAACACTCCAGAACAGGTTGGAGTTCTATTTGAGAGGTAGATACACTACTTCTAGACTAGGAACCTATATTAAATCAGTGAATGCAAATATAATTCAGTTCTGAATTTAGAGCTATGCATTTTGCTCTTGTATTTCCATGACCTATTTCAATGTTTGTATTTTGAGTGGAATGAACTTACCACTGTGCAATGACCATCTCCTCCCACCAATAGTGACACTGCAGACATGATCTTTCATCTACTGTGTTAAAAATGATTTGTACTGCTATTCATGAATAGCTTTCTGCTTTGGAGAATGGTTGGGACTTCTAAGTAGAGTGGAATTTAACCTGCCTTGCTTGAGGCTTTTCTTAAGCACATCTTACAGGGAAAGGATCTCTGTCCCGAGGTCAGTCCAAGGCTAATTAAGCAATGTTTTTGTAGAGATCAATTGCTCGTAAATCCCAGGCTTTAGCTCTTGGAAAGATGCCAGATAAAGCAGTAGTGTAATTTTGTTTTCTTTTGACACTTTCAGTATTATGTCTAATTATGATTTTACATGTGCCAGATATAAGAATTTTTTATGGACATTGATAAGTGTGAATGTTCTAGAGGATTTATGCTTTCAACCAACACCCCAGTTGCAAAATTGCAGAATCGTCCTGTTACTATCCAAGATTGGAAAGGCTTTTAATTGATAAGTCTGTGAAAATTGCTTGTTCTTTGAAAGTGTACTAAAATTTTGCACTCTTTACGGTTTGTGTGACAATGTGTCCCTGGGAGTTAAGAGCAAACTTGAACATGCCTAATAATGAGTTCTGTATATTGGAAAGAGCTTGGGGAACTATTTCACAATAGGTAAACTTGCTTTAAGTAGTTCTGGTATTAAAATACATAAAACTAAATGTATGTAACACATCTAAGCTTTGTGGTTAAAAGGAAGCATGATACAGCTATCAAAGCTCTTAAACTCCATTTTTTTTTATCCTGCAGCGTGACACATGTTAAATGCCTCCTGTTCTCCAGCCCAAAGAGCAACTATTTATCACAATCCTCTGCTTTCTTTGCTTCAATCTTGTATCCATGTGGCTGATATCTCTCTTTATTTTAAAGGCATCAATTCTGCGAGTTAATCTGAGATGTTGTAATTTATTAAGTGGCTTTTGAATATACATCATCAACTGTTGTATTCTCATCAACCTTCTCTGTTACCTCAATCAAAAAGTTCAAACAAATTCCATAATTTTTAATTAAGTCTTTGCTTACCCAAGCTGTTAAATTTTCTGGCAGATTAATCAAAAGGTTAACATTTTAACCAACTGATCTCCAATTGCTAGGTTTATCTTGTTCCCACTTTGCCCAACATCTTTTTTAATTTTCTCAATTCCCCACAGCTACCTAGTATATATCTAATCCAGACCAGGTGACTTATCGATGCCACCTCTTTTGTATCTCAACAACCTCTTTGGTTACTGTAGCATTGGTAAAGTCGTCTTCCTTGGTGAACATTGCAAGTAACTCATTTAATATCTTGGTTTAGATACCACACTAGCAAGTCTGTAAAGTGGTTTGTCTCAATTCTTATAATTCCATCATTCGGCGTCGAAAAACTTGGTTAGCGCAGTTTCTCCCCTTTTCTTACCCAACCAGACAAACAGTACTCATTGGCATACATTAGGCAGCAGAGTTCCTCCCATGCAGCCTGACAAACATCACAACTCCGTATAAAAAATGGGTGTAACACCGCAATGCTCCTGACCCCAGCGTGTAAACACAGCATGCACTATTGAACAGCAGCAAATTGGGAGCTTCAATAGCTGCTGCTTGACTGTGACTAATCATGTCCCTTTGCGATTAATGCTCAGAAATTCAACCAGGAAGCATAGCACCCAAAAAAAATCATTGAAGTTCCACAAGTAGTAAAAACACTATTGAGGGAGTCGTGCAGCTGATTTAAGGGGCAAATTGGAGAATGATTGCTGGAGACAGAAGAAATAACCAAAGTATTAAGTGAGTAATTTTCAATGTTAACTCATCTACCATGTGGAAATCTTGTTGAATTCCTTACTGAAGTCCATATGGACTGCAAAGTATAATTCCATGAGTATGACTATGTCAGGCTATTATTTGACTAGCCTGAGACAACTCTCCCAATTTTGGCACTGTTCCACAGATATTAGTAAGTCGGACTTTGCGTGGGCGACGGGGATGTTTCTATCATTGTCATTTCTGGAGCCTAGATTGATACTGGGTGATCATTTCTTTGTTGAGAAATTGTAGTGATTGATACAACTACAGCAGCTACAAGTGGCTTGCTAGGCTTTTTCATAAGGCAGTTGCGAGTCAATTATATTGCTGTGGATGTGGAGTTACATGTAGGCCAGACCAGGTGAGGATGGCAGATTTCCTTCCCTGAAGGACATTAGTGAACTAGACATTTCTAACAATGAGCAGAGGTTTCATAGTCACCATTAGATTCCTAACTCCAGATATTTACTGAATTCAATTTCCACTGCTGCAGCAGGTGTTGTATCTAGGGTCCCCAGAATATTAGCTGGATTCACAGTCTATTGATAATATCGCCAGGCCATTGCCACAACATGTATGATTATCTGAGGCTTAACAGGAAGAATCCCAGTTTCCAGGCACAGATCTATTCTTGTCAAACACTAAGTGCCATGGAAAATTGCATATTCCTGGAATTATACCTTGTAGTCTATATGGACATAGTAAGGCGTTTGACAAGGTTCTGCATGGTAGGCTGGTTAACAAGGTTAGATCACGCAATACAGGAAGAACTGGCCATTTGGATACAAAATTGGCTAGAAGGTAGGAAACAGAGGATGGTGGTGGAGGGTTACTTTATGGACTGGAGGCCTGTGATCATTGGTGTGCCACAGGGTTCGGTGCTGGGTCCACTGCTTTTTGTCATTTATATAAATGATTTGGATGTGAATATAGGAGGTATGGTTAGTATATTTGCAGATGACACCAAAATTGGTGGTGTAGTGGACAGTAAAGAAGGTTACCTCAAAGTACAATGGGATCTTGATTAGATGGGCCAAGGAGTGGCAGGTGGATTTTAATTTAGATAAATGTGAGGTGCTGCATTTTCGTAGGGCATATCAGGGTAGGACTTGTACACTTAATGGGAAGGTCCTGGGGAGTGTTGCCAAACAAAAAGACCTTGGAGTGCAGGTTAAAATTTCTTTGAAAGTGGAATCATAGGTAGACAGTGTAGTGAAGAAGACATTTGGTATGCTTGCCTCTATTAGTCAGGGCATTGAGTATAGGAGTTGGGAGCTCATGTTGTGGCTGTACAGGACATTAGTTAGGCCACTTTTAGAATACTGCATTCAGTTCTGGTCTCCCTGCTATAGGAAAGATGTTGTTAAACTTGAAAGGGTTCAGAGAAGATTTACAAGGATCTTGCCAGGTTTGGAGGGTTTGAGCTATAGGGAGAGGCTGAATAGGCTGGTACTATTTTCTCTGGAGCATCAGAGGCTGAGGGGTGGCCTTATAGAAGTTTATAAAGTCATGAGGAGCATGGATAGGGTGAATAGCCAAGGTCTTTTCCCAGGGATGGGGGAGTCCAAAACTAGAGGGCCAGGGTTTAAGGTGAGAGGGGAAAGATTTGAAAGGGACCTAAGGGGCAGTGTTTTCATGCAGAGGATGGTGCATGTATGGAATGAGCTGCAATAGGAAGTTGTGGAGGTTGGTAAAATTACAGCACTTAAAAGACGTCTGGATGGGTATATGAATAGGAAGGGTTGAGAGCGATGTGGGCCAAATGCTGGCAAATGGGACTAAATTTATTTAGGATATCTGGTCAGCATGGACGAGTTGGACCGAAGGGTCTCTTTCCGTGTTGTACATCTCTATAACTCTATGGCAATGTTCTAGACACCACCACCATCTTCGCTGGATATGTGCTGCCCCACCAACAGGGCAGACCTAACAGAGTTGGCAGTACAGTTGTACACAGTTGGGAGGAAGTTGCCCTGGGAGTCCTCAAAATTGACTCCACGCCCATAAGTCTAATGGCATCAGGCTAAACATGGGCAAGGAAATTTCCTGATTACTGTGTACCATCTTCCCTTGATTGTTGGGGTCAGCACGACTCCTTGTTGAACAACACTTCAGGGAAGGACTGAGGATGGCAAGCTTGCAAAATGTACTCTGCGTGGGGATAGCAATGTTCACCAGTTGCAAATCACAAGTCAGGAGCTCGTGATGGAATATTCCCCACTTGCCTGAATGATTCAATAAGACTTGAGCTTGTCACCATCCAGGACAAAACAGCCAATTGAATTGGCACCATGTCCACAAAGATGCATTTCCTTTACCACCAATACTCAATAGTAGGGCTACAATCCTTTGTAACATTTTCTGTCGATGGGACAGATTTGGTACCACTTCCGTTGAGGAGAGTGCATTCATAATATTCTCATGAGCGGAATTTAAACTCGGGTTATGTGATTTTTGGTGGTTGCAACCCACGTGTTTCATCTCACTCATCTGAGTCTGAAATGTCCCATGTACAGAGTGTGAAGAA